CACATGGAGAAATAAAAGAGACCTTTAGGAATAGGCTACAATTTCATCAGTCTCGGAGGCCAATTGAAGGAAACAGCTTATTCGCATCACTTAAGGACCAATGATAAAAGATAGCATCTGGTCTAGAACGGAGAAAAAACAAACCTCTTTTTCTGATCACCGCCCTCACTGGCTGAGGACTCTTTAGTGGCAGGGGAAGATTCCTCAGAATTAGCTTTGTCTTCTGCTCTCTTGCCATCTTCTTTGCTATCTCTGGCTTCGGCACCTGCGCCTTTCTCCGCTGTCTCCCCACTAGAGGCTTCCAGGCCTTGGGAGCGTTTGCTACTCTGATCGCTTAGGGTCTCTACCACTACACCTTCAGAGTCCGGGGCCTCTTCCTCGGGGCTCTGTTCACTTGTCTCCCCTTTTGCTACCACTAAACGCTTTGCTTCCTTCCTTGCCAAAGCTTGGGCCGATTTGCTGTCCAAAGCTAAAGCATCTTCCTCCAGCTGAGCGGCAGCGAGAGCGTCCTCTTCCTCAGCCAGCCTCTTGCCTGGCCCCGCGTTACTGGCTTCCTGCGCACGCGGCCGCTCCGCTTCGGGAGGTTCTTCGTTAAGTAGCTCAGATTTACAAGTTTCCCCCAAAATGTCGAGTATTTTCTCATTTTCTACGGATTTAACAGGAATAGAATGGCACAAGATTTAATCACCAGGGAAATACAGCAATCACAAATGTGGAACTGGCATGGCTGCCACACTAACACCAAGAGAACTGCTAAGCTACACAGAGATTGGAAAACCCTAGTGTACACAGTGTTACAGCTACCACGCTAACTGCTCTCTCACACCCTGCCAAATCAGCCCTAGCACCTCAACAGCCAAGAAAAATGCCCCCACTGATTTAACAAAAAACTTCGGGCTCAGCCTTCATATTCTTCAGCAAATCGTTCAGCTCTGTTTCTTCTCTAGTTAGCTTCCAGAGTCCGAGATGCTTAACTGAACGTATCAAGGCACTGAGAGTTCAATTTTCCAAATTTCTGTGAAGTTCTTTTAGCAGAGACAGTCCAACATGAGAACTGGGCATCTTCTGATGGTTCTGAGTGTGTATGCAGTCCAGAAAGCGAGTGGGATCTGTAGCAAATTCCTGATGGCAGCGTGATCCTTCTTCTGAAGTCCAGTCACTCCTTAATTTGTGTTCTGCACCAGAGCTTTGCACTGCCTACACTCCTGTATTTATATTTATTCACAGAACCACTGTACAGTGTGATATCACAAGATCTGTTTTCAGAACCTTTACATCTTTAAGGCTCGTTCCTTAACTTCACTCTGCAGTAACAGTTCTAGGGAACCATTTCACAGCATTGAACAAGTTTTCCAAGGGTGGTTATTCACAGATCTGGTGATATGACTGGGTTTCCAATCTCTATGACCCTGCATGACCTGGATTTTCCACCATAATAACGTACACTACAGTAATGCATTAAAAAAAAGAACCAAAAAAAACCAAACAGGGACGCAAAAAGCCTCAATGAAGAACGAAACTGTTTAAATGCCCAGGTTTTTTTTTCCATTTAAAAAAAAAAAATCAAAGTAACTAAACAAAAACAAACAGTACCTGGCTCCAAAGGTAACTCTTCAAGTTCCTGTAGTGAAAAAGATTTTGAAAAGGAGAAATATCACTATTTCATAAGCAAGATGCTATTCTGAATGACATTTTTTATCCACCCATTACAGGAGAATATTTAGTGAAAGCATTACTATAATTTAACCTATTTCAGCTTTGAAAACATTGAAATTCAAATGAATTTCTCAAAAAAAGTTTTAAGATGAGTTTTTAACATCCTCAAAGTTTTATGAAATCTGTGAAAACTTTAAAACCTCTCAAATTCAGCCACCTGTTGAACACATGGTACACATTCACATGGATAAATAAATCAATAAATGCAAGTAGCACAGAGGAAAGCTTATCTTCATGTTACCCTTCTCTACCCTGTGTTTTTTGAAGTCTCCTTTCTGAAAACAGGATCAACAGAAACACCAGCTTCACCTGGAGCTGGTGCTCTTAACCTACCAGGAGTGATCTGGAAACAAGGCCAGCATTTCAGGAATAGACAGTTCCAGCTTTCTTCTCACCCTGGGATACGTACATTTTTAATGGAAGTTAAACAGAATGTAAGGCACTGAGCTGGTATTTACATCAGACAAAAGGAATCCAACCTACCACCAAACTCAGTATGACACATACATCATAAACATATTTACATATATGTATATATAAATATACATATATGATCTGATAAAGAAATAAATCTTTGTTTCTATGAATAAATCAAAAGGCATTAGTTCCCATTCTTTGCAGAGGATGAATGCACCCACTATACACACATTGTTACACCATACAGTATTATATAATATTTTATGCTTTTTTTGTTTGTAAAGAAAAACTGGCTACCATTTACCTTTATTACGGTTAAATCTGCTGAAGAAGCATCTAAACTGTTCCCAACATCTTCAAACTCTACCTTTAAGAAATAAACAGGAGACATCTTGTTATCTATAAAGGAATATTGTGAGTGAAACCTGAATGAGAAACTGAAGATTTATATTTGCACTGACAGCAAACAAATCCTGCATCCAAAGCAACCAATAATGGTAAAAACTGAGTGATAACCCCCAGGACTCTTCCTGATCCCCACTGATGGAATAAAATTTCTCATTATCTCTTAACTGTGATGGTCAGCTCACAAAAATCTTTTAAATATGGGGATTCCAACAGCAAAATTTCTCTGATTTG